TGAGCACATCTGGCGACGACACATATTCTGCCAGTTCGTGTTTTTTTACTGGCACTGCTTGACAGACTGTCTTCTACTTCACTGATCTGCTTTTTGTAGTACACTGGAATTTCAATTTCATAGTTGTCCTCTGTGTCCTGCTGTTCACTATCACTGTCATCAGAACTAGATAAATGTAGTGAGGTACTTTCTGTCATCCGCTCCTGCTCTCGCTCTTTTCTCTCTTCTTTTTTGCATTTACGTTGTTCTGTGCGCTCTTCTTTCTTGGTCAGGTCTTTATCAATGCCACTCATTTGCATTCGTCGACTGCCCCTCTGGTCTTCAAGAAATTCTATATCTTCCTGAATTCGGATGAGCTGCATGGCGTGTTGGTGAGCAATATCAAACAGCATGTGCTCCTTTTCTTCAAATTCCTTCTCTCGTGCTCGTTGTGCTTCACTTTGTCTGTTTTTGGTTTTTTTTATTAGATTGTAGTCATCAACTACCGACTTTACTTTTTCTACAACATGAGTATGGTAGGTTGTTGGTATTCTAGCCTTGTTCCACATGTCCATGACCTTATCTGACGACAGTTTTGCACTTTCAGGCACAGTTTTCTTTTCTACTTGATGATAATAAAAAACATTCTCAGGAAATCACCTGTTGTAGGCAATACATTTACTGGAAGTTCACTTTGTAACTGTCCAATCAGCCATATGTTAGTCATGCTGCGTGTTGTAAGAGCACCACAGTTTGAATTAGAAGCCATTTTATACGTAGTTAAATATGTACAGTACCGGTATTTCAAAATCACCTCAAATTATTAGTAAATCGACACAGTTATGCAGATATTTATCCTATTTTACTTTTTGCTGACAACAAATATGGTGACCATAGAATATTTAATAATAATAATGCATTTTAAAATATCTAATATCTATGTTTTGAATTAAGTAAGTAACCAACTTTTGATACTTTTCCAGTTATATTTGTATTTGGTTTCGAAATAATGAATTATCACATTTTTATATAATTTTGAGATGCATGAGCAACCTCTAAATTTAATTTGATTCGTCTTATTTTTGGTTTGTAAGTTTTTAGGACCCAATGGAAACTTTTCAGAGGGTGTGCACTCAAATCAGACAAAAAATTTTATTTCCCCATTCAAATGTGAACCACCCTAATGTAGGTGTGTGTTTGTGTATGTATGTATATGTATTTCATTTCATTTTAAAAGTTTTATTCATAATCAACAACATATCAAATAAGTGAATAAAAGTTATGAAGTTGAATATGCGGAGACCGAATAAGACTGTTTGTCTTGTGGTGGCCACCGCAGATAGATACATGAATAGTTAATGAAATAAAATAAGGAAAATAACTGAAGCAGAAAGATAATTGAAGATATATAAGTAAATGTTCGTGTCATACATATATAGACATTGTCAGGGAGGTCACCTATATTATAATTAAAAGTTGAGCGCTATGACATTTTGTTTCGGGAGATAACGGGCGATAAAAGAAGGGAACGAGGGGAGATTAGAAGGAATATAGAACGTTATTGAACGAGCGAATTGAATATTGTGAAAACGAATTTGGAATGAATATTGTGAAAACAAATTTGAATAAATATTATTTGAAATTAAATTTATTTAATAAATTTAATACAAAAACGTTGAATTGAATAGAATATTGTTAAAATATTGCCAAAACGGATAAAACAATATTAATCTAATATATATAAATAATCTTAAGAAATTTTGAACGACAAAAATATTCAATATGTTATTATAATGTTCTGTTGCCGAATTAAATTATAATTTCTGTTGATTGTCTAGTTTCATTGATCTTGATTATTGACGTTATATTAGTGACGAACCTGACATCTGGCGCAGTCGACAGGATAACTAGGCAGGTCTACTATCAACAAAAAAAAAAAAAAAAATTTTGAGAATATTGATTATATCATTACAATATAATGGATAAATTGGCAGAAATTAAAAAAATGTCTACCGAGCGCTTAATGACGAAAATGATTAAATCAGGAAGGGATGAGGCAGAGGTACGATCAATGTCAAGACAAGAGATTATCGATGCATGTCTCGCTAGCGAATTGATGAGAACAGAACTTCTGACCGAAACATCTGAACCTCCCCAGAACGTAACTGAAACGGAAAGATGGAAATTTGAGAAAGAACTTGAATTTAAAGAAAGACAAGCGGCGAAGGAACTTGAATTTAAAGAAAGACAAGCGGCGAAGGAATTTGAATTTAAAGAAAGACAAGCGGCGAGGGAATTTGAACTGAAAGAACGAGAACTCGAATTGAAAGAAAGACTAAAGGAAGAGTTAAAATTAAAAGAAGATGAAATGAGATTGAAAGAAGATGAACTCAGATTAAAAAGGGAAGAATTTTTATTAAAACAAAAGGAAAGTAATTCGCTAATTAATAGAATTAAAAAGTTCAGCGACACGATGAAAGAACAATTGTGGAAAATGCCCCAAAACCCTAGTGAACTACCAACTTTTTTTGTACATCTCGAAAACGCTTTCTGTTCTAATGGAGTTGATCAAGATGTCAAGTCAAGACTTCTTCAAATGTGTTTACACGATAAAGCGAAGTCTATTATAACTCGATTAACAGTGCAACAATTAGATGATTATAATACTTTGAAAGAATTTCTACTGAGCGAGTTTAGAATCAGTCCAGTCAAATTGCGAGAACAATTTTTCAGCACGAAAAAAATACCAAATGAAACGTACCAACTATTATTATCGAAGTTAAAAAGCTTATGGAATTTTTATCTTAAAAGCAGAGAGATTGGAACAGATTTTCATAAACTAGTGAACTTATTAATGGCCGACCGAATGAAGGAGTTGCTACCCAGAGACTGTTTAAATTTCGTTCTTAGCCAGGAGCAAGATGGCTGGTTAGATTGTGATAAGTTAGCACGAATAGCTGATAATTATGCCGCGACATACGTCAAAGATAATAACAGATCATATCATCGTGAAACGGAACAAAATTCTTTTGTTGACACTGCATTTACTCAGTTTGATACAAGACAGGAAGCGAATCCACGCATATTGGACAAAACTAAAGAAGAAGCTATGAGAAAAGGATTGTGTTTTAAATGTCGACAACCTGGTCATCTATCAAAAAACTGCAACAATTCATTTAAAATACAAAGAAATTCAGTGCAGCGCAGATTGGAAGTAAACAATAGTTATCAATATAATCGAAATACCCGAGATATTCAGTGGAAACATTTCTATAGAAGAAAATTCGTCGATATTGCTGTTGAAGGTGTACTACCCCAAAAGGCATTGATCGACGGAGGCGCAGAGATTTGTTGTATACGACGAGATCTCATCGAACCGTCAAAGATGAAAGTGCAAGGAAAGATTTCAATTCTTGGACTACGAGGCGAAGCGAATGTGTTTGATACGGTGAAGCTAGAAGTTCTGCCAATAATAAATAATTCACCAGGGAAAACATATACTGTACCCCCGAAAACAACAATTAATGGATGTTACCGCAACACATACGATCGACTTTGCTAAGGAATTCGGAATATACGTTGATGCTAGTGAGGTAGCAGTAGGGGGTTGTTTAATACAATGGTCGGAGGAAGGAAAAGAATTGCCTATCGCATTTGCAAGTAAGAAATTAATATTAGCACAAACAAAATGGTCAACAATCGAAAGAGAGGCATTTGCCGTTATTTGGATATTGGAGAAATTCCGACAGTGGATATGTTTGTCGCGGATAGTCATATTTTCCGATCATAACCCATTGAAGTACCTGTTGGAAACGGCTCCAAGAAGCGCTAAATTGACCCGCTGGGTTTTATCATTACAGGAATATAATATAGAATTTAGATATCACCCAGGTTGTAAGAACGTAGTAGCGGACTTCCTATCACGAAATCCACCCATTGATAACTCAGAGATGCCTAAAGATGAGGAATAAAAGGGAGGATGATGACATTGCTCCCCCCTGTCATCATTTTGGGTGGGGGGTATGTCAGGGAGGTCACCTATATTATAATTAAAAGTTGAGCGCTATGACATTTTGTTTCGGGAGATAACGGGCGATAAAAGAAGGGAACGAGGGGAGATTAGAAGGAATATAGAACGTTATTGAACGAGCGAATTGAATATTGTGAAAACGAATTTGGAATGAATATTGTGAAAACAAATTTGAATAAATATTATTTGAAATTAAATTTATTTAATAAATTTAATACAAAAACGTTGAATTGAATAGAATATTGTTAAAATATTGCCAAAACGGATAAAACAATATTAATCTAATATATATAAATAATCTTAAGAAATTTTGAACGACAAAAATATTCAATATGTTATTATAATGTTCTGTTGCCGAATTAAATTATAATTTCTGTTGATTGTCTAGTTTCATTGATCTTGATTATTGACGTTATATTAGTGACGAACCTGACAGACATATAACTATGTAAATGTTCGCTCAGTACATATATAAACACATAAATGTTTAACCATTCATAAAGACCATTCATCCGCATCATTTGTTCTAGCTTATTCTTAATATAATATTAGGTGGTGGAGTCGAGATCCAGTGTCAATAAAAAAGCACGGAATTTTGACTTGAAATGTTGTAGGTTTATTATGACTCTTAGATGGGGAGGTACAAGTTCTGTCCAAATTTTAGGACCTGTTATTTTTATGCTTGTCTGGATTAATTTGAGGCGAGTTTTGTAGATATAGAAGAGAGGGGTGTGTCTAGTGGTTGTAGATTGAACGGAGTTACTTAATGTGTAGAAGTTGATAAAGTGAGGTGGGAGAAGATTGTTGATAAATTTAAAAACGAATAAAGCAGAGTAGTAAAGACAGATGAAGTTAACTGGTAAAATATTTTTTTGCTAGGAAGAAGGGTTTAGTATGAGAATCGGGTTTGAGGTTAAAAATTAAACGTATTGATCTTTTTTGGGAAAGTATTAGGTTATTCAGGTGGCTTTTTGGACTATTTCCCCATAGTGTGATGCAGTAGGTTAGATAAGGGTAGATGAATGTGTAATAAAGCGTGCGAAGAGCAGAAAGAGAGAGTTTATATTTGATTTTGTAGAAGATGCCTGTGAGTTTGTTGATTTTGTCTGAGGTAGTTTGTAGATGAGAATTCCTTGAAAGATTTTCTGTGATGGTGATTCCAAGAAATTTGGTAGGCAGGGTGCGGCTTATAGGAACACCATTAACTAATAGGTTTAGGTTATGAGCTTGGTTGGTGAGTATTTTTGGGCCAAAAATAATGTATGCACATTTCGAATAATTTATGATAAGTTTGTTATTGGATAACCAGTTAGAGTATTTTTGGAGTTCAAGATTGATATGTTCAGAGCAATCTGGTAGGTTGTTGGAAGTAAAAAGAAGGTTGGTGTCGTCTGCGAACAGTACGCATTTGGTTGAGGGCGAAACATTGCAGAGGTCATTTATGTAGATAGAAAATAGAAGGGGTCCTAGTATGGATCCTTGTGGCACCCCGTGATGAAAATGTATGTATGTATGTGTGTGTGTATGTATGTATGTGTGTGTGTATGTATGTATGTGTGTCTATGTGTATGTATGTATGTGTGTATGTTAAAACCAAATCATTGACGAATGACACCAAAAGCCAAGCGTCTGACTAAATTTGATTTTATTTGCTATAACGTCACTCAACCCCGTCGGCATTCAACTCCACATTTTCCAACACACAGACGCGCAAAAACCGCTGCAGGATGCACGAGATATTATTCATAGCGAAAAAATATTCCCTACTATCGCCTGACCTAATACTGATATTTTTACAAATTCGATTGAAAAACCCGGAGGTGTTACGGTCCATGGGGCCGAGGACCTCGATACAAATCGGTAAAAACTCCATCGAGGGAAGAGCTCCGTCGTACTTTTTGATTTTCTCGTCAGATGCCCTGGTTGCAGCCAAACCGCTTTCTTTGCTAGTAAGCTGCACGTAGCGCTCAGCAAAGGTGCCCGGAACGGTAACGTCCCACGTCAAGCACCTGCCGGCTCTCCAAGGAATCAAGGTACACCCGTCAGGGCGCTTACCGTCGTGCGTCGCAATGCCCGACGGTTCCTTTAAAACCGGAATTGAGGCCTTGGAGAAAAGTCGGCACACAAAATCGTTTATGGCTGAATGTCGCTGCTGGCGACCTCCGCCCAAACGACAAACAAGACCATGATGGCCAAGTTCATCCGCCTTCGCGCCGCACCTGCATGTATATCGACTCTGAACGGCCAATCCCAGACGGAAGCCAATGGCTGTCTTGACCGTTTCGTCGTCCAATCTGGTACCCACCGACGTATTGGGCAAAGATCTCAGCCAGCCACAACTCGCCTCGCTGGATACTGCCAGCAAGCGAGCTGAGGTCGCCGAGTCAGGGCTTAAGGAAAGAAACTCTTTGAATTTGCGCTTATATGCTTCCTCCAAAGTGTTGCCCTGGGAAAGGTCTGTTGGTTGGATTGGAGTCGGCGGAGTACAGTGTAGGCTACTAAATTTCCGAAGAAGGGCAGACTGTAGGTCAAACGTGGCAGATGCGGAAGATTTATAAACAATTGGTGCAAGCTGAACCACGCTTAGTAACCCCAGTCCCCCAAATCGTACCGGCAGCTGAGCCTGAGACCAACCCTTGTCGGTAATATCGACGTTACAAATTGCTGAGAGGGCCACCCGCAGAGCACCCTCAAATTCGCCAAAAATGGCCGCATTAACAAAATTGGATGTGCGCAAAAAATACATCAATTTCGGCAAACTGAGGGCGCCGCGGATGATTGTCAGCGCGTCGTGGACCGGGAGAAGAGAGACACGTTCGAGGGCAAATCTTAGCTCAAAAAGTTTTTTATTAAAAAACCTGTCCTGATGATCGCCGGCCATCATTGGAGTGCCTAAAAATTTTAATGATGAATGGGGCACTGTGGAGACATTAGCCAGCACGTTTGGCATTTGAAACGTGTCATTTACAAGTAGTTCACACTTGTTTGTGTTTAATTCAAGACCAATGATGGAAGCGCCGACCCTCAGCAACAGGAAGTCGTCCGCTAAGATGTTACCCTCTGCGGCCAAGCTGACATCGTCCAGGTAGCCAACGCTAGGATTATGACTTCGTCAACAGCGGGTGAAGGGCTAGAGCAAAAAGCATCGGTCCCAAAGGGTCGCCTTGCTGTACGCCCTCGCACGATTCAACCACCCAGGCGTCGTAACCAAGAGAAGAGACTCGGCCATATGCGGAATGACAAAAATTATAAATTTGAGGACAGTGCTGCTTAACTGCCTCTAACATTGAGTCTCTTCTCAGGGTGTTGAAAGCGTTCTTGAAATCAATCTTCAAGAATCCCCACCGTTTTGGAAGTGCTGAAATCAGTTCACGTACGGCGTGGACGGCCGCCTCAGCACCACCTTTCACACCGACGCCCAATTGGATAGGATAGAGTTTGGCTTTGACCTGTTCCAACACTAGCGCCAGAGCGCACTTACTGGCCAGCCTCCTCCAGAAATTTCCCACCGCGGTGGGTCTGATCCCTCCATCTTTTTTGTTTAAAGCCACCAGACGGCCCCCAAAAAAGAAACGGCTAACCGCGGGAGGGCAGACCCCAGATAACAGCAAATTTACAAACCGGGTGAGGTTATTTAACAATTCATCGGTGGGCGTCGGACCGGAAAGTAAATCCTTTATGTGCTGAGGCCTCAAGCCATCAAGGCCTCCCGATGAACCATTATTAAACGACTTTAAAGCCGTCAACACCTGGGCTGGTGAAACTCGACCATTAGACGGCTCCTGCGCGGGGAAAGCTCACTTGTTCAATGGAGCACTGGGATGAATAGCTTTGAGTTTAGCGAGTGTCTCAGGCGAGCTCTCCGCTAGGCCTGCGGGCGAACAAGCAAGTCTGACGGCCGCCGAGAGACTGCCCTGTTCAATCCGAGTGGTTACTGCACTAATCCAACTGTTTGGATTTTGCTTACGCGGTTTGGTGTTGTGGTCAGTGTTGAAGCTTGCCACAATAATCTCGACCTCGGTCGAACTGAATTCGGCCAACCGTTTAATAACGTAATTGGCTTGATTAGTCCTGCGACCGCCCCTGGTGGGCTTGAACAAAACAAATGCGAAAAAACATTGGAGCCTGCACCAATGGGCCGCGTCGCAGGGATCATCGCAAACGGCCGTCAATAAAGCCGACAATGCTTTAGATACCTTGCCTCTGCACGGTTTGGGAACGTGATCATACAGATGGGCAGTCCTCAAAACGACCGTCAGCCTGTCAAAAACATGATAAAAATCTACTTGGGAGGGACTCTCCGAGACCGACGCCGAAGAACCGCGTGTAGCAACATGAGGGTTGATGACAGGTGCAGCGGTAAGAGGCTGGTCGGCTGCCTTGAACGAACCAGGGCATTCCTGGCCCTTCACTTTGCCTCCATGTCGATATAGTTTACCGTCCGGTTTTATTTTATAACGATTTAAACAAACCGTGCGTTGGTATAGGACCGGTGCCATTACGTCAACGAAATAAAATCAAAAGCGAGTAGATAAAACAGTGATAAAAGCAGCGAGTGAACAGTGATAAAATAAAATAAATAAAATTGTGGTGAAAATAGAAAGGTTAATTTAAATAAATTTAAAAATTAAAAGAAAAAACTAGGAATGAAACAGAGAAAACAAAAATAAATATTAATGAGCATTGTACGGTGCAGCTGGCTAAAAGCCCACAGCTGTTGTTAAAGTATGGTAAAGCTAAAATTAAAAATTTGAGACCACAAAAGTTAAAAAAAACTAACCGAACGGTGGGACACTAATCCGAAAAAGGGAAAAAAAGCGACAACCTATAAAAACCACACCAGAAAAACCGAAATTATTACAACAAAAACCTTAAAAACCAGAAATATTACTAAAAATTAGCGAAATACTAAAAATGTGGAAGCCGACACCAGCTGAGCGAACGTGTATATGTATGTATGTATGTATGTGTGTGTGTGTTTATGTGTGTATGTGTGTGTGTATGTGTGTGTGTATGTTTGTATGTATGTATGTATGTATGTATGTATGTATGTATGTATGTATGTATGTATGTATGTATGTATGTATGTATGTATGTATGTATGTATGTATGTATGTTAAAACCAAAACATGATGAGTGACACTGAACCGTCAAATATCAAGTAACAAATGGATTAACACTTTGATTTGTCATTAATTGCACATGTCGGCATTCAGTTGGATATTTTCAAGCACACAGACACGCAGGAACCGCTGCAACAAGCACGAAATGTGGTTAGTTGCGAAAAACAGTTCCCTGCTGTCGCCTGATCTGACGCTGATCATTTTACATATTGCCTTAAGAAATTTAAGGGTGTTGGGGTCCATCGGGCCGAAAACCTCGATACATATTGGCAAGAATTCCATCGAGGGAAGGGCGTTCCCATAGTTTTTCATTTTCTCGTCCGCTGCCCTGGCCGTGGCCAAACCGCATTCTTTACTTGTCGGGTTTACATATCGTTTGGCGAGGGTGCCAGGGACCGTAACATCCCACGCCAAACATCTGCCGGCTCTCCAAGGTATTAGTGTGCATCCGTCCGGGCGCCTACCATCATGCGCAGAAATGCCGGATGGTTCCTTGAGAACCGGGATTGAAGCCTTGGAGAAGAGCCGACAAATGTATTCGTTTAGCGCTGAGTGACGTAGTTGACGGCCCCCATCCAGGCGACAAACCAAACCGTGGTGCCCAAACTCGTCCGCCCCAGCGCCACATCGGCACGTGTATTTATTCTGAATGACCAGGCCAAGTCTGAAGCCAATGGCAAATCTCACAGACTCGTCGTCAAGCCTGGTGCCCACAGAGGTGTTGGGCCACGATCTCAACCACCCACAGCTGGCAACGCTGGACATGGCCAACAAACGAGCGGTGGAAAAGTCGGATATTCCAGCCAGCACATGTGGCACCCGAAACAAACTTTGGCAGTGAAGTTTGCATTTTTTAATGTTTAACTCTAAACCAATTGCAGCTGAGTTATGCTTCAAATATTCGTAGCTATCGGCCAGAGTTGGGCCGTCCGAAGCAATGCTGATATCATCCAGATAAGCGCAAACGAAAGTGGACGAAGCTTTCTCTAAGAGTGGATGAAGAGTTAGTGCGAACAGCAAAGGACCAAAGAGATCACCCTGCTGTACCCGCTCGGACGATTCTACAACCCAAGAGTGGTAGCCAAGGGAAGAGACTCCGCCATAGGCAGAATGGCAAAAATTATAGATATTGAGGCAAAAAAGTTTTACAGCCTCCAACATCGAGTCTCTTCTCAAGGCATTGAAGGCATTTTTAAAGTCCAGTTTCGGGGAGGTCGGTGACCAATCTTCGAATCGTATGTATGTATGTATGTTAGGGTGTCCCGAAAAATTTTTTTTTAGAATTTTGCAATACAAGACCTCTTGAAAGTGGCCAATTTGATCATAAATTACGAAAATAATCATACAAATTAAATTAAATTGCATCTTCAGGGTTCTACCAAATTTTAAAGTTTTGAAAAATGGCATTTTTTGTGTTAATATTTTGTGCCGCTTAACGTCGAATCCGAATCATAATTAAAATGTTATATATGTTCTTTGTTTTGTTTACATGTGATAACTTTACTTCACATTGTTTTCATTTGTATGCATTAGCGTTTTCCTGGTTGTTTTAGATTTTTCTAGTTTGAGTTAGCAAATTCACTAAAATTTCAGTTTCTGAAGACGTGATTTTAATTGTAAGCAAATTCTATTAAACTAATTTTATTATTTTGCTATAAAATTTTAAAATTAGAAA